CTATCAATAAGAATTTCAAGCTGGTTCCTAAGTGTCTGGTTACTCCCTAACCTTATGTTTTTCCTGATTATCAATCAGTTTCTTGAGATGTTCAAAACCAGATAACCCCTTGTCAAGAGAAAAGACAATGATTTACCCTATTAAAAATGCTTTGTAGAAGCTGAACTGAGGGTATAAAGTCTGTAAAAAGCAGCAGTGTGTGTGTGCTTCAAGAGAAGAAGTCTCTCACAAACCAGCTGCTGTTGTTCTTGGGACACGGGAAGAACAGATCGTCTCCCTTCAAGGATCGTGCTGAGAACTTTACCTGTCAGCTTTGCAACCCTAGTGCCTTGGACTGGTGAGATCCCAGTGCTCTCTCTCTCTCTCTCTCTCTCTTCTCTTTTCTCTCTCTAGGCATAAATTTCTGAACTTGAACTGTATTAGTTAAGCTTGAGCTAAATTTCCTCAAATACTTAGTGAAACCAGGGTAGTATTGTAATTGTTTGTGTTTGTTTTTCTTTTGCATGTCTATTACTATTAGTACCATTATATATTTCATATACTTAGCAATAAATAACTTTATAGTCAAACAGGTAGTAACTGGGTATATTTTTCCTTCTCTACTTCTCCTTCCCCACTTGCTCTGCAGCAATGCTTCTTTTACCTAAGCTAAAGATCCCTCTGAAGCCCAAAAATACTGTGGGGTCTGCTCATCAAGAGGCTAAAGGTTGGGACGTGCTGAGTTTGAAAGACATAAGGGGATCAGCTTGTACAGGCTGATTGACCCAGTTTGGCTCAGACGTGCCCTTATGAACCGAATGCTGGCCCATGAGGATGTTAGCTGGACACCCAGTCAGATTCAGAGGTATTCTGTTTACCTGTGTGCTTGTGTCTGACTGTAGTTATTGTTGCTCTGATAAACTGATTCTTAGCATATGAGGGTGTAAGCCTGTCCATGCTGATCAACCCGGCCGGGTCAGGCATGTCATGTTAATCTGTGTGTGTTTGTGTGTATGACTGATTTGGTGACTGGAGGAACCCAGCCCCATTGAAACTGAGTCCTGCAAGATAGCCCCATTTGGGGTGAGGACTTGCAGAAGGGAGATATACAGCTCCATATAGAAACACAAGTAACACAAGCAGCACATTGATAGAATTACCAAGACCCTAGAAATGTGTCCCTAATAAATAAGCACACCCCAAAGTAATGGGCAGATCTGGTAACAGGATCTCCCCTTGCCCCTGAGACAGCAGGAACAACTGGAGACAAGGGAGGAGAGAATGGGAGGGAAGGGGACAGGAAGGGAAGGGAGGGATACTTATTTTCTTTGGAGACTTCAAAAAGTTCCCTGTTACTGCACCGGCCATGTGGTCAGAAAGGGGAGTGGAGCCACACCACTGCACCCCCTCTGAATCTACATCTGGGAGATTCCATCCTCCCTCTAACACCTGCTAGCATTGCTTTTTATCTAACTGAAGGATTAGGACTTCCATGGCATTACACTTGTGCCAAACAATGCTGTTTCCTCTGGGCAGCTGCCTGGTCAAAACACATTTTACTGACCAGACTTAGTGGGAGCATCTACACAAGATGTTTACTGCACAGTTGACTAATTAACTGTGCATCAAAGGTCTCAGTGTCTATACGTGCACCCCTATCATGGTGCACAACACTAATAAACTCCATAGCAGGTTAGGACTTGTAAATACCTAACCTGCTGCAAAGGTTTTTTCATCAACAGTAGTGCATGTGTAGACACTGCCCTGGCTGGCTGGGGCACGAGGGCAGCTGCATGCCAGCTAGTCCCATGATGAATCACCTTCATGCCTCAGTCAGCCCCTACACAGTATACAAATCTGTGCATGAATAAACTCTGGATCAATATGCTGTGGAGTTTTTTGCTCCTGGGCACACCATTTGAATATGCGCCCAGGAGCAAAAAACTCCAGAACAATAAGTCCCGGAGTTTATTCATGCACATCAATCGTGTGGATGTACCCAGTAGGGAAATTTAGGATTATGCTGAATACCAAATTATGTGTGCCAATACTGCAGTTATACAGCTCTGTACCTGCCATTTGGATGTATGAGTGGCAGTTCATCTTGCAAAAAATAAGTCACAGAGAAGAAGCTACCATGGCCACATACAAAGGAGGACACGTCTGTGGCGCCATATACCGATCATTTAGGTGTTCTCCGTGCTGCAAGGTAGCAGCAAAGAGGGGGCGAAGGGTTGACTCTGGGAGATCCTGGGGTCAACCCCCCTCCCAGCGCATGCACATGCATGCACACATGCACACATACACGCACACGCACACACACATGCACACACACAAAAAGTGGAGTGACACATGCAGGGGCAGCTGGCACCACCCAAAACCAGAGCAACACAAATTCATGCCACTGCTTTTTGCCCTGGCGTACATCCCTGCATGTGAGATTAGCATGAGGAAAAATGCTCCAGATGGGGTAGGGGAGGCTGGGCCCAGCATCTGGGCTTATCCCAATAGCTTTACCTGGATTCCTGGGGGCTGTTCCTGGGCCAGCCTCCAGTTTCAGGTAGTACACTCAGCCACTATGTGTGCCACCCTGCCTTTTACTTGCACAGGTTTTTTTGACACTGGGAGAGCCACATGGATCATTAGTAGTGTGGTCCTCCTCATCCATTCTCTGATGTAGGTATTGAGTAGGTATTTTAACACCTTGTAGGATAATTTTATCTCAGCTGCTTATAAAGAAAGGTATCTATAGCATGTATATAAATCTTAAATTAACTTGTATGCACCTTGGAGCAAGAGTGTACTTTTAATAGCAAAATGGCTCCCTGATACTAAACATTATCTTTCTGCATTTAGAGCAGCATCCTGTGTAGGTGACCCCAGGTGAAGTGCTGCACTAATGCAGCTATGCTTCCCAACAGTGTCATAGTTATCTTGTTTATACCTACATTGCACTGTACCAAGTGGTGTTGACAGATTCCAAGTTTCTAAAATGAATCTTTCTTTTTATTAAGATAACTATTTACAGAGGTGATGCAACTGCACCTGGTATTACAGCCACATGTAAACAGAACAATTTCCTAGACCTTCCTCTAAGTTCTTCTCCTGCAACATCATCCACAAATGGATTAAATGTAGATTGTTATGTAATTTTTCTTAACATCTTTTGCTATTGTTTTATGTCTCTGGTGATAGTTACCATGGCAATAATCTTTTTGTTAGCCTGGTACCCTGATTCTGAGAGGTCCTGAGTGCCCTTAGCTTCCACAGACTACAGCTACTGCTAAAGTAATGGCACAGTTTAAAGGCATATTTCCAACTTTATATGGGTTGCCCTTGATGTTTTTAAAAGAGAAGAAACAAAATACGTTTCCTCTGTTAATTTAATTATTGATGAATAAAACATACTCTATCAACAAGAGTGTCTTCAAGCATTTCACGCCATTTTTAACAACCTGTTCTAAATGGTAAGGAGTTGATTGCATGGTTTGAAGTAGAATGACTGGTAATGTTTCATTTGAAATTAAAAGTTATGAAATATCTGCTGAATTATATGGGGAGAAGTAAACTAATGTATTGAAACAGCTACTTGAAATATCTGATTTCTCCTGCAAGTTACTGAAAGCTCATTTGTCCTTTGCATCTGTTTAGACTGCATAAAATGTACTCTATTGAGAGAGTTTGTATATTATCCTATTTTAGTGGTATCCATGGTGCATTATATCTTATTCACACACAAAGAAAGATAATCTGTAGTCTGCATGTAGTTTATATCTTCATAAATTCTAACCATTAATCCTTGCAATATCTGCTGTAAATCTGCCATGTGCCATGGTTAAAATATATAAACTGGATTAACTCAATATAGTATATTTAATTCTCTTTAAGCTCTTGCTGAACTGTTTAAGCCTCTTTGTCTTTAAAATAGTTACCTCTTTTCTCTTTCAGAAACCCTTGAAATGCTTATCAAACAGGCTGAGAATTATACAAGCACATTTTTCTGCAACTTGTATAGAAACATGGCTGTTGAGGCTGCTACATCTGTTCAGGAGTTTTTTACGGATGTGGGACTCTTTGTATTTGGCACAGATATTAGCACAGAAGAATTTGTCAACAGATTTTTTGACACCCTGTTCCCAGTCATGTATAATCATCTGATTAATCCTGGTGTGACTGACATTTCACTGGAATATTCAGAATGCATTCGAATGGCAAGAAGAGAAATCAACCCATTTGGTAATATTCCAAAAATAGTTATGGGGCAAATGGAAAGATCATTATTACCTAGTCGTACTTTCTTGCAGGCCCTCAATTTAGGGATTGAAGTGATAAATACAACAGATCATTTACAATTTTCTAAAGAATGCAGCAGAGCCCTATTAAGAATGCAATATTGTCCTCACTGTCAAGGACTGATTTTAAGTAAGCCTTGTATGGGATACTGCCTCAATGTTATTAGAGGCTGCCTAGCGAACATGGCAGAAATTGACCTTCACTGGCGGGGTTATATTCGTTCATTGGAAGAATTATCCAGTGCCATGTATGGGACATATGACATTGAATATGTACTTCTGAACTTCCATTCACTTATTAATGATGCTCTTATGCAAGCTCACATCAATGGACCAAAATTATCTGAACAGGTAAGACTTTAGTTTTTGTCTTCAATGCTTGTTGCAAAAAATAGCCCGACTTCTAGCAATGAAAATTGGTACAGGATAATTAAACATTGCTACACCCATTATCACAATGT